CCTCTCTAGATTTATTAATCATGTCTTCACTAGGGGCACAATTTCTCCTGTTATCTGAGAAATTATTTCTGATTTCATTTTTTCCAGATCCCCTTCTGTTGCCCTTTCAGTGGGTCCAGGTGGTTGAGTATCAGAGTGTTCCATCTCATTTCCCTTTGGAGTTGCTGTAGGTGATCTGGAAGTCTGGTTTTGAGACTTGTTTATGTGTTTTCTCATTTCGACTGGTGCGGGAGGCTGTTAATACCTGCACGGATTACCTCCTCTGAGCTGGGTGAGGTGGGACAGGGGCCGGGAGCAGTGGTAGGGATGGTGACCCAAAAGCCCTTTCCTGTGGGCTGGGAGCAGCTGGAGGGATGGTGGCCAGGAAACCCCTTCCTCTGGACCAGGAGCAGTGGGATGGTGGCCCGGAAGCCCCTTCCTCTGGGCCAGAAGCAGCGGGACAGAAGGTGGCCCAAAAGCCCTTTCCTCTGGGCTGTGAGCAGCGGGAGGGATGGTGACCAGGAAGCCCCTTCCTCTGGACCAGGAGCAGTGAGACGACAGCTCAGAAGCCCCTACCTCTGGGCCGGGAACAGTGGGACTCAGTACCTTGGTTTGGTGGTCTGGTGTCCTCTGAGCCTTGGTAATGTGGAATCAGGTGGCTGCCTGTCTGCAGTGGGGTGATTTGGTGTCTCTAATTCTATTCTTTTAAAATGTTTTGTTGAGTACTCTTGGCAGTTGCTAATCAAGTCAACAATAAAAAATATTCCTTCAATTCTACCTTAAAATCAAAATTTTAAAAGGTTTTCATTATATGCACTGTCATGGAAAGAGAAAAAGCGAGGGAGGGGAAAAGAAATGATTCTCATTTCTTTCTTAAGGAAAGATTATCTCTGCAGTAGCCATTATTCTCTTACCTCCCTTCCAGTATTTTCAGGAACAAATACAGGAAATTTACCAAATGATACTAGAGAAGCCACTTTTAAATATGTGTTCATTGTCACTTTTTTAGGAAGTTACACATTATGGAGGATTCAAGTCCACTGCAGAAAATGTAGGTTTGTTTGAGACTTGGACCTTGAGTATGGCTCTTTCTATCCCTTCAGTCCAATGCTTACATTATACTGTAGTGTCTTAAATTTTGGTTGTGGACAAAGGAAACTTCCTTGATCAGCTAAAAGCACTTATGTTTTAGTTGTTTTCATTGAAAGGGAAGGTGCAAAGTAACTCTATGAAAATGTATTGATTTGGAAAAGAGAGTTCATTCCAGACCTGAGAAGAGTAAGAATTTGGAAAACAGAGGACAGTCACAGATCTTGAGAGAGGCCTTAGAGGACCAAGCAGGAGACATGTTCAATATGCCAGGTAGCAGGAGACACTGCCCCTTGCCAATGAATCATGGAAGCAGAACAGAGTTCCAGTGTAATCCGGTCATGTCAGTTGTCCCCCACCCGTGATTGAGGTGAGAGAGAGATCATCACACTATCCCTTGCTTTCTCTCCCCTGTCAAACCCCAAACCTCTCATCAACTTTATCTAATAGACTAAAGACACGTGATTAGACCACTGTAGTTAGCTCTATAATGCAATGTATAGAAATAGGAAAATTGGAGCTGAATGACAATGGAAGAGAGTTGGTGACAATCTCTTAAAAGACAATGTTGATCTAGGAGTTGTGCATGCCTGTAATCCTAGCACTCTGCGAGTCTAAGGGAAGAGGATCACAACTTCAACCCTGGCCTTGGCAATTTAGCAAGACCTTGTTTTAAAATAAAGAATAAAAGAATAAAAGCCTAGCAATATAGCTTAACATAAAGACCCAGGGTTCAGTCCTCAGTACTGAAAACAAAACAAAATAGGTGAAGTTGTCAGAGATGTAAAGACCAAGTAAAATTATTTTGAATGCTTAGGAGTATACTGGCAGGATTTGATGACCTGAGACAAATGCCACAGATGTAGGGAGTAGCTCCCTCTGCAGAGATATGGCAAACAGGAATATGTGAACAGATGGGAGCTTGAAGACTTCACTAGGCAGAGAGAAAAATAGAAGAGTTTGGATTCCAAAGTAAAAATTGCCCATAGATTGCAAAATGAAAGAAGACTCAGGAGAAGCAGGGAGAGAATCAGCTTAGATAACAAGGAGAAATGGCAGAATTTCTATGTATATATTATGATGAAATGAAAAAACATTTGTGAGTGTTTTAGGGAAAGTTCCTTTCTCTACTGTTTACTGAGCAGTTCCACCAACCAGAGGTGTCCTCTGCTGCAGAGTAACACATGACAGCTTCAGGGCCAGTCACACTTCAGAGTCCCAAACTTCCAGACTTGATATACTTTTTGCCACTTATCAGTTTTAATAATATATATATTATATATATATTACATATATAACCACAAAATACAGCAAATTAATGAGAAGAGAAACAGAGAAAAAGGTAAGGTTGAGGATTACTAGAGGTATACATGGTCATTGCCATTGGCCCCAACCACATTTGCGCAAGAAGGAAAGACTTTAGTACACTACAAAATTAAAAGATGCACTGTAAAGTCATATTCCTGAGCACAGTCCTATTGGTAGCATGCACTGGCTAGTGTTAAGAAAAAGGAATAATTTTCCTTCTCATTTATTAAAAATTACTTTGTCAATCAATTTGTCTATAAGTCTCTTGACAGCAGGAACCAAACCTAAATGGTTATTATTTCTTATTGTTTATCTAGTAGCATGTAAAGCCTTATACATAATTATGGAGTTCATGAATTGAACAAAATGGAGACTTGCCAAACTGTATCACGCTGGGGTGGCTCAATGTGTTCCTGTCTCTCTCTTAGATGTGTATATATGTGTGCCATTTTGTAGTAGGTATTTATTCTTATGCTGGTTATGTTGGCAATACTGTGTTCCCATATAATTTTGCATGAGTCTGTAGTAGAAGGGATAAGTTCTGGTTAGTCAGTACCTTAACACAAGTTTTATTTAAATTGGAAGATGTCATCTTACCCTGGGCTTAGGTAGAAGGATAGATTATTAGTTGTCTTGTAGGAGAAGAATAATTTTTAGTAAAAAATGATTAATTTTGACAGCATTCTTTTTAATTGTGTGTGTCATCAAGTGAAATCTGAGTTCTTTCAGTGTAGTTTTGAATTCAAATGTTATCAGTTGGAATTGACATTAATTACTTATGTGCTGCTTGGCCCATGCTGGAACATAATTTCTACAGTAATTCCACTAAAGTCTCTTAGGCAATTATCTCTGCTGCGATCTTTGTCATCATCATAGTAATTATTGCTGTTGAGTGTCTTCTAGTCTCCATCTCAGCCAGGCTCTGCACACCATGCCCCCTTCTGTCCTCCATCTCCCCTGCAGGAAGTCCCATTCTCTCGCGTGTGGTGCAGTAACCGGCAGCCCCTACACTGTGCCTTCTCCCTGGAGCGCTACACGCCCACTACCACGGAACTGTCCTGCAAAATCTGCATCCGGCAGCTCAAAGGCCATGAACAGATCCTCCAAGTGGAGACATCCATCCTAGAGGTGAGTCCTGGAGGCACCAGTCTTTTGACTCCCTTTCTAAAGCACTATAAGAATAATAACACTATCCCTATCATTGTGCTCTTCAAAGCCTGAAAAAGCTTCAAAATGCACAAACCCTTTTTATTCTCATCGTTGATAAAGGAAAATAAACTTTCATAGGATGAGGGTTGAACTGTGTTTCTACTGGCCAGGGAAATTAACTAACCAGAAAGTATAGGCTATGAGGAGGGACTTTTAGGGAAGGACAGGACTTTCCATGCACAAAATGACAAGCAGATTTATAGCCTTTGGTAGGCTTGGAATACCAGCTGAGATGCATTACAGACTGAGTTCAGAGAGTATAGGTAAAATACATACCATAAGAGGGCACAAGATCACCATTGGGCTGTTTTCCAGCTGGTTCTGACCAATTTTCTAGAAATCACTTGCCTTATATATATTCCATCCTCAGGACCTGGGATTTTTGTTGTCTTTAACAATACTTTATCTAATATCCTCCAGGCTCATGGTTTTATATGTCCACATGCAACTGAACCTAGATTCATCAGTGTAATAATAAAGTTGGTCCTTGGTATCCAGGGCTTTTACATTCATGGATTGCACCAACACAGATTAAAAATATTTTGAAAACAAAAATTACATCTGTACTGAATATGTACAGAATTCTTTTATCCTGTTATTATCCCCTAAACATTACAACAATGATTTGCATAGGTTTATATTAAGCATTCTAATCTAGAGATGATGTAAAATATCCAGAAGGATGAACATTGTTTACATGCAAGTATTACATGATCTTTACATGGACTTGAGCATCCTCAGATTTTGCTATCTGTGGAGATTCTGGAGATTCCTGTTGCAGAGTAAGAGACAACAGGGTCAGATGGACAGGGCTGAAATGAATCCAATTCTATAAAGGAAAGGATTGGAATTGGTAAGAGACATGGGATCTTGTCCAAATAATATCACTATTGAAAGGCAGGGTTTAAATGGGAATCAAAGGAGAATTTACTTGGGAACTGTTGCAAAAGGTACCTGATGTCTACAGTGGCTCTTATTTGGCCTAAACCACTGAGTGACTTCATGGTTTTGGACTTGAGCTTATACAGTAGACACAGGATTCCTTTCTCAATTGTCAGGGTCAAAAAGAGTGAGTTGGGGCAGGAATTTAGCTCAGTGGTTCCGCCACCACCACCTGCCTTGCAAGCTCAGGGTCCTGAGTTCGATCCCTGGTACCAAAAAAAAAAAAAAAAAGAGAGAGAGAGAGAGTAGCAGAGGATCTGATGCCTTCATTTCCCAGTTTTAAGGTAATTTCTGGAAAGTGTAGAAAAACAGACATATTTCACTGTTCATCTGTATAATTGATTGATAAACATATAAGTAAAATGTAGAGAAACATAAGTAAAATATAGTTCTTAATTTAGGCCTGACAGAAGCTTAAGGACATTTATATACATACAACTTAGTTTCAGATCTTTTTTTTTTTGCTTTGAAAAGTCATAGCCATATAGTGTTATCACTCATCTCCACTCTCATTACAATTCACTGTTTGTGAAAAATGAGTACTGCTAACTCCCCAAATAGTTATTCTGAGGAGTGGATCATGCCTTAAAATTGATAGCTGTCTTAACTGACATGTTAAGTATTTGCAGTTATTTTTGCCAGTTAGCATTTTGTGCTAAAAGAGTTTTGATGGGGAAGGTAGATTCTGAAACCTGGGGTAGGATATTTTTAGAACTTTCTTTCACAGTCCTGACATATTTAACACGATACATTTCAAAGTAACATAAAAATTTTAAGAAAGTTTTAAAATAAAAACAAAAGGAAAATCACAAAAGACCTAGTATTTAATGAAAAGGCAAAACATAGAGATTCCTCAGTCTAAATTTCCTTTAATGTCTGTTACCAGGTCATCAAAAGAATTCCAGGCTTAGAAGGTTTTGTTTTTTTAAGAGTTTTTGTTTTATCTAGGTAGATATTGGGGGTCAAATTCTGCTATTATAAGATATTTATGTAATGACAATATGATAAGCCTGGTCCATTCCGGTATCTTTACTCCTTACCAATATAAATTACTTGAAGTGCAAGCAAGGAAAATCAGCTAATGCATCTAATTCTGTCCTTTAATCTTCAATTCCTTTTCTATTGCTGTACAAGTTTAAAGCTACTTTGAAATGCTTTGAAAAAGACGCCATCATTGTAGCTTCTTACAATGGGAGACAAATACTAGAATAATACTTAGATTTTCATTTTTGTGTGACAGTCATCAGGTTCATAGGCTACTGCATTTTAGAGGCTTTTAAGCCCTTTTGATCCTTCCAAGTATCACTTTATTAATTGCTTCAAATGTTACTGCAGGAATTTGACCCAGTGCATATCCATCCCTTTGTAATAAACTGTATTCCTTAGACAAATCTCATTTGTTAACATTTTATGTGTCAGACGAAATCTAATAACTTTTGAAAGCCACTATATCTCAGATACTGTTTCATTTACTTTCACATATATCATATAACTATCACTATTCTGTGGGTTAAGAGTTACTACTGTTACAATTTTAAATGATGTAAAAATCTCAAGGAGGTCAACATTCTGGACAAAGATCTTTGAGCCAATGGGATGAGGGAGAGGTCCTGTGTTACTTCAGGGACCCAAACAAGACAGTGCGATTTGCCAGCCTTTGCTTCAGGCCTTGTCCGTAGCATGAACTTTCACTTAGGAGTCCAGGCACTAGTGACAGATCCCCCAGCACCAGCAATGTGAACTTTGGGTACATAAAAGGAGTAATACGAAAACTGAGAAGTCCTCTCTTCAAAAGAAAAAAAGAGTGGGATGGAACCATTTGTGTGATGTATTAGAACAACTGTTTGTTCTATGTAGAGCCTCAAGAATAGAATAAATACCCTACATGTAGATCCAGCTACAGATGATATCTTGATTAAATAATACACAAATTCCTTCCAGTTGTGGGACTGTGTAACTCCTGGGAAAGGCATACATCTGACGATATATCTGATGAATAAAATCTCTTTTTCTCTAATGATTACTTGATTTCTGTAGTGAATGGTCCAAGCAAAATGGAAGATATAGAAAGTAGAGAGAAATGGTGATTACCTGTGGAGAAGGTAGGGGACATCCAAGACAGGTCTGTCAGGCAGTAAGTTTGGTCATAGATCACTTTGAAGGTGCACCACACATCATGGTTACCAGGCTGGGAAATACTGCAGTTACATGGATTTCCTAAGTTAGTAATTAGGGATTTATTGATTAAAATTAGAAACAATAATATGAAACTTTTGAAGCTTTCCACAAATGTCTTTGAAATTTTTTCTCTTCTTTAGTACCCACTCCCTTTAAATTCCTGTATATTTAGGCTCAGAGATCCCATTCCTTATCTTACTTGAATGAATTGTTTTAGCATCACTGTTTCCTCTATTTAATAATAAAAGCATGAGGTGGGTGTGTATGTGTATGCATATGTATTTACACACACATATATAAAATATTTGTTTTAAATGTCTACATCTATGCAATGATTATCATCATTGAAGGCATTTGATCCTTTATGTTCAGCAACATATCTATCCCCTCCCCCATGCCTCTTATCTAAGTGGTTTTCCAAATAAATACAATTCTTAATACCTCCCTTAAAATTAAAAATTACTTTAGTAAGACATGTCCTTTTTGCTCTTTAGAGTTGCCAGTGTTGTTTGAATCTTTAGAAGTTAGTTCCCCTTAAATTTTAAAATTTTTATTGTTAATACAAATACACTTAAACTGAACCCTATTGTATTACCTAATGATTATGGTCAATTGACCATATTTATTTTTATTTTTATATTAAAAAGCAGAATTACCCACCTAAACAGGAACAATAAAAATTTTAGTTAATATTAAGAAGGAATAATTCCATAAGTAATTTATTTCATCACTCCTTATTATTATACTACAGAAGACATTTTTTGGTAAAATGACTTAAATGGGGATCTTGCACTTTATAGTTTTCCCTTCAAGCAATTCTCTTATCTTTCCTCCAAAAGTAGTGGAAGTTGGGGGATAATTTTTCTGTTATAAAACAGAATACTTGGATTCGCTCACTGATTTACAACTCCCTAAGCTAACCGGGTAGCAGTCGCTTATCTCAGATGTGCAGAGCATGAAAATCTACTGTTCCTCTGCATATTTAATTTAAACAATCAGAAAATGTGATGTATCTACAGGATTATTACCTGGCCCAGATGTCTTATAGAATGCATCATAAATGTTACCTAAAGTGCTGTCCTTGCACATGGAAAATATTTAAATTTAGAACCTTAAAAAGGGAAATTGAGCCTACTTATTAAAGTATTATAAATAGGAAAAATACTCATTTTAAGGTTGTCTCACATATTATTTTATTTACCTTCAAAGAAGACCAGTCTCCAGCTTTTTCTGAAGACACTATACATCAAGGTGGTCTTTCTTCATCCAACAGTAAAGACAAATTTTGGTGGACATTTCACAGGTACAGGAGGACTTGTACCAGCCTATTCTATGTTCAGCCACTCTCTGGCCCAGACTTTTATATTTTCCATTTCAAGCCAACTTTTCTCAACACCTTTTGGTGCTATTTTCCAATCACAGCTGCTCTGTTGACTTGCGTAGATTTTTTTTTTCTCTGTCTAGTTTCTACCATACTCTTTAAGTGAGAAAATATATAAGGAATCTATTCTTGCTTCATTTGCATTTTTAGACACTAAAAGAAATTTTACAAACTATGATAAAAAATGATGTATCTTGTAACCCATTTTGTGCAGTAAGATGCTGAGTTGGTTTATTTTCTAAACACCCAATATTTCAGAACAGAACTGCCCACTCTGCATGGAGAGTACCTATCCACCCAATTTCTATTCAGTTGATGCCTTCTAATTCTTCAAGGCCAACCCATATGCTTTCTCTATGAAGCCTTTCCTACCATAAATACCCAAAGTATAATGCTAATATCACTCCCAGGGTATTTTTCAAAGCACACTGCTCTCTGTATTGCACTTGAAACAGGGAAATGAGCACTAGTGCAGTTATTAGGGTACCCAAATTCTATTCTGTTCATTTTTCCAGCTATGTCACAAGCTACCTGGGTGACTTTTACCAAATTTCATAACCTCAGTAGGGTCTATAAAAATTTCCAAAAGGCTGATTAAGAAACTGAGGTTGAGGTCACATAGCATCCCAAGTCACCAGCAAGGAAGTATGTAGGTCTTACTCCAAAGTGTGATTTTCTGACTCATAAAATCATCCTTTTCCTATGGGATGATTCTAACTGCAAATATTGAAAGAGCTTTCATGAGCATTGTTCTGCAATACACCAAGGAATAAAACTAAAATCAGCAAGTAGAATATATTTAATGTGATAATATGTAATTTAAGTCACCAAGAAGAGGGTGTAATCCGAAGCACTTTTCAAATGTATTTTGTCACAAAGCTGCTCTTTCCCAGAACATCCGAGATACCCTTTGGAAATGTTGGGTTAAGACACTGTTTCCAAAAGACAGCCTTCGAAATGTAGTTGTTTTCACCGATTACAGAAAGATCACAAACAGTGCTAGTCATTATGAGAGTCCCTACATCAACTGTTGTAATCGGTTAACAGATTTTTGGAGACTTGCCATGTCTGATGGTTGTATGAGTCTGAGCACGAGCAAAGGCCCACTGTGCCTGTGACACCCACAGTAGGCAGAGAAGTGAAGACTGGAAGTCATGGGAAGAGAAGAGAAGGACTTCAGGAGCATTCAAGAAGAATGTGCTTAACTTGAGGGAGGACACAACAGATAACTTCCTAGTGCAAAGTGAACTTCTTGATGTTTAAATTGTTCTAACTGGTTCCTTAATTCAGTTTCATATCTCCTGTCTAAATTTTACCTTGTAGCAGTTTTTTTTCTTTTGCTGCTTATATAACAAATTACCACAAATTTACCTGAATAAAATATTCATGAATTACCTCAAAATTTTTGTAAGTCAGGAGTCCAGGTATGGCATTCCCAGATCCTGATCCATATTTCACAGACTGAAATCAAGATGCTGGCTAGGGACATTTTCTTGTCGACAAACCAGCATCCAAGAGCATTCAGATTGTTGGCACAATTCAGTTTCTTGTAGCTAAAAACTCAAGTTCCTTTTTTTTTTGGTGTGGGGGAGTTGGCTAGAATCACTCTCAGCTCCTAGCCACAGGGCTCCTTGTACAGCCAGTTCACAGCATGGCTGCTTGATTTCTTCAAGATGAGCATAAAAGGCCTCCAAACAAAAGCTTTCTCTTCCCTATTTTGATGGCCACCTGATTAGGTCAGGCCCACCCAGGAAAATCTCTCAACTGAATAGGGACTTTATTTCAGTAGAACACCTTAAGTTTTATAACATATAATAAGCATGGAAGTAGTTCATTCAGATATTTTTCAGTCCTTAATATTCTGTTAGTCCACATAAAATTATCAGCAACTACTACAACCTGACAAATTTCTGTGTGATTTCATTTTGGACACAATGATCTAAGTGCTATGATGTACTGAAATATCATATCCTCCTTGGATAGCCCTCAATTAAAAGCGAGGTAAGCAGACAACAGGCTGAAGCATTTTAATCTGCATTCCTACACAAAGCTAGTCTAGCTGTTTATAACTCGTGGGTAGGTCTATTTCACCCAAGGGATTTAATTCTACAACAAAACCAAAACATTTATCACACAATTTTACGACTTGGGAGTAAAATCAACTTTTTTTGTGACTAACATACAATAAGTTCTCTTTCTGGTTTTCCCAACCAGGCCTATTTTCTAACAAACATCATGTACAGCCAATTGACATTTCACAAACAGCCTGCAAATAAGAACCACCAAGCGAACCTGGGATCTCTAACAGGCTTCTTTGATCAGCCCATTCATCTTTGGGCAGGATGACTGTCAGAGGGTCATTCCTCATACCAATTCTGAATCTGTCCTTTGGTAGCTTTTCTTCCTAATTCTAGATCTATCCCTGTGAACCTAAAACAAAAAAGAAAGATCTAATTCTGCTTTGTCCTGATGTTTCTTTGGATGTTGGAAGCTGGTGATTGTGACTCCCCTGAGTGGAAGAAGCTATGCAAATCTCCAGTCCACAGTTCATTAGGCTACTAGATAAGTCCTTTACCATTTTCTAAGGGAAGGGAACTTATCAACATATTTTATAGAATCCATCAGAACAGGCAAGCATGTTGTGTCACACAGATTTTTAGAAATAAAAATGCTGTCAGTAATGCTTTCCTCATTTTGTTTATAGAGTGAACGAGAAACCATCACTTTCTTTGCACAAGAGGACAGTGCTTTCCCTGCACAGACTGGCCCCAAAGCCTTCAAAATCCCCTACTCCATCAGACAGCGGATTTGTGCTACGTTTGACACTCCCAATGCCAAAGGCAAGGACTGGCAGATGTTAGCACAGAAAAACAGCATCAACAGGTAATTGCTGATGATTTCACTGGGAGAACTTGGGAAAATAAATTGGCTGGGATCCAGGTGGGTCCTGATGTCTTTATGGATTTCTCTGACCTAATTTGAGAGTTGGTCCTTCTAAGGTGATACTGTGTGCAGTATTTCCTGTCACCCCCTCTACCTCTGGAGACTTTTAAGACAAGCTATGCTTTGGTTCTGGTCCTATCTCTGTGTTAATTGCTCGCCCAAATAGGCTCAAACTGTGTCATCCTAGTGCTTGTGAATGATCAGAGCACAGCATAAGCTGCTGTCACAGACACAGAGCAGCGAATTCCTCATACTTCCTCCTTAACACTGTTAACTATAGGCATTATTTAACCCTTAACACATTCATACACAGCCTGCGAAAGTGATTGCTGAATATGAAAAAGAAGTTTGATGATTACTATCAGCTGAAGGCAGAAGGCATCAAATAAGAGAAAGGTGACAGACACCTAAGTGAGTGTACCGCTAAAGCTCACACTGGAGCTGACTTACAGACAGAACAGACTCTCAATGGGCTGGATGACTCCAGATGGGAAGAGCAGAGTGGTGCTATCCAAAGCAACCCTGATGGACTGACAGGTTTGACCTCAGCTTGGAGGATGACTCACAGGGAGAAGGCAATGAAAAATGAAATCTCTTCTTTTCAGTCCACCCTCTGTGTGCTGCAGAATGAATAGAAATGAGAACAAGTTTTGCCGGGATCATTTTGTTTCCCTTTCCTTTGATACTATGTATTTTTTTTCTTTTTGAGGCAAAGCCTTATTTTCTTTCTCTTTGGCTAGCTCTCTCATTTCCATTTTTTGTTCTTTATTTGCACAGACATCCTACCTGCCCCTTTCTTTTCTGGAAGGGAGGATAGATCTCTGCCAAGAAGGGATGGAGTGGGGCTCCCTGTCTCACATGGGAAGTGGAAGCCAAGTACAAAGGGTCCAGCTAGAAAGTAGTTGGATGCATCACTGCCAGAGGAAACTGAGAGTACGGTAGCAGACAGGCCCGGAAAGGACGGATAGCATTCCTGAAAAGGCCTATTGAAAATGAAAGAATATAAAAATAGATGAGTGCACAAGAAAAACAGCTTGGGTTGCTATTTCCCAGCAATTCTGATGAAGGATGAGATGTCTTATTTATAGTCTCAATGAGTACCACAATTGTTTCAAGTTCAATTCTGATCACAGGAACACAGAATACAGAACTAACCCAGAGAACATAATTTTATCTAATAAAAGAGAGACAGACAGAGAATACTTTGGACAGAAACTCAAAACACTGGTTTTGCTCTCTATCCCAGTCGACCTGAATATGCCATTTGCCATCCCTCTGTTTCTTTTTCCAGAAATGCAGTTCATAGAATTGAAAGTAAATCTCTAGCTCATCCTGACTATAACATATTATGATTTTTTTAAATAAAGGAAGATTACTGATTTTTTTAAAGGATGGGGAAAAGATGGCTACTCAGCAGAGTAGGGGGCATTGTAAAAGCAAATACCCCCAATTTTATAATTTTGAAGTTACTATTTGGGGGGGAGGAAACCTGCCACAAAGTATTTATGTACCCATAGATGCTGTTATTAATGTATAGGAGGAGAATTTTACTGCCTAGTTCTATTTTAATCTCCACTTAACCTTATACATAAGACCTAAAATGTGTACGGCTCCCCCAAAGCCATTCATTTCTGAGGTCCTGCAGTAGAGGGAGTGCATTCCCCACAAGGCTTAGTGGCCTTTTGTGTCCTGGGACTCATGAGCATCAGTTGGTTATGCTGGAGCCCAACACCCCTACCAGTTTCTTTCTTTGGTGTCATAAACTTGAGCCCTTGGAGGACCTGTTGGTTTGTTTCTTTTTCCTAAGAGCCTATCTCTAGCAAAGGCTAAATTCCCTTTAAGTCAAATGCCTAACTCATGCAAGATTTCTAACTTAATGCTCAGAATATGTAGATTCACAACAGATGTTAGTTGGTCCCCTTGACATTGTCATAGTAATTACCAAATTAGAATAGCATGAATATATGTAATGTACTTGTACCTTGAAATCTTTTATAGTTGACATATTCAATTTCAAAGAGCAGCATTTCCCACCTTCTTTATTCTCTAGCTTTGATCTTCAAAAGTAGCCTATCTGTAGAATGAAAATGACTTAAACTAGGGGTCAGCCACTTTTTTTTTCTGTAAAGGACCAGAGAGTAAATAATTTAGGGCTCATGGGAATCTGTTGTCACCACTCAGCAACTGTTCATCTCTGCCTTTGTAGTGTGAAAACAGCCAGGAAAAAAAATAGACAAATAGATATGGCTATGTTCTAGTGTTCACAAAAACAGACAAGACCCATATTGGGCCTCCAATTCATAATTCACAGACCACAGATTTATGTAGTCTGGCCTAATTTAGGTAAACTTCCATAGAAGTTGTCTCTTCCATCAGGATAACACCTGGCCTGAGGATTCTCATTCATCTGTGCAGCCAGGCCTCTGAAAGCAAAAGAGGCTGGTGTGGTCATGGCAGAGATGGCCACCAAATTTGGAGAAGCCAAGTAGGAGAGGGACGACTGAAACCACCTTGTACCATATTAGCCATGTCTCATTCTCATTTTGCAGAAATGCTCAAGTTCCTTGTCTGTTGTCACTTACTATACTGAAGATATGAGTTGTTCATTGTGGAAAGAAATGTGACAGAAAAGGAAGAGACTTTCATGTGTAATCCACTATAATTTCCTTTTGTGAGATCCAAAATCAGTGTTTTTACTGTCTTATAGTTGGAAATAATATAGTGTGACACTGATAAATTTAAAACACAGAAACCTAAAATCAATAATATACCAATATTCTTGGGTAAAGAAGCTATTTCAAAAGCTTGAGATTTCATTTACTCTGGGGTTACAACAGAAAGATGATCACAAAGCACAAAGTCAGTTATTTTATTCAGACAACTGCCCTAATGATCTTGTGACAGCACTTTTATTGTCTCTTCTCTCAATTTCCAAAAATGTTAAAATGCTAGCAAAGTAACAGCACTCAAGTCATGAAGGAAGAGTATTTTTCAAAGAGAATGGAGAAAATTGTTTTTATTTTAATATCATTGAAAATTGTTTTCTCATTCTCCTTTTGATAAATACAAATGCCACTGATGGTAATTTGCCTTTTTGCCAATAAGACTCTACTTAGATCCACTTTTCTTTTTTGGTACCGGGCATCGAACTCAGGATCTTGTGCTTGCTAGGCAGGTGCCAGAACCAAGGAGTTAAATCCCTGGCACTCTTCTTAGATCTGAATAGGAAAGACAAGACAGTCAATAGAAAGTTATGAGAGGGCTGGGGATTTAGCTCAGTGATGCCGCTGCCTGCCTGGCAAGCGCAAGGTCCCAGAGTTCAATCCCTGGTATCAAAAAAAGCCAAAACAAAACAAAGCAAAAAAAGAAAGTTATGAGGATGTGTGATAGGACCATATGTATATTGTACAACTGGAACATGGGTGGTCTTGCAACTTTCTAGCACAGGGGTCCTACTAAACAAGGTATGCAGCTTCATAAGGAATGCTACAGATAACAGTTGCGTAAACTCTATTACTCAGTGTCCATGCTTGCTGCATTTCCAAACTGAGATTGCACTTTTAGTCTGTAAACTCAGCTGTGGTAACTCTCCACTTCAGTGCTCTTGGCTACATGTGATTGGAGAGTAGGCTGAGAATTAAGGATTTGGCCAGGTAAACATTATCAGAAACTACCTGCTTCAGCCAAAAGTAACCCCCCATAGCTAAAGTTTCACAACACTTGTATTTTTGTGATACTTATTTTTAAATTGCAATTAAATAGACCTAACTAAGATCATCTAGTTGTGGATAATTCAATAAGTGTTTCTGGAAGGAATAATGTGAACTCTATAGAATGGTACATTTGACCTTAAAACATGCCCCCTCATAAACAGAATGATATGAACAAGCATCAAGGGATTTAAAAGTTAACCATAGAAGAAAACAGACTATATTGCTAATGTTCTTTTCCCTCAGGTCTTAGTATCCAAAATTCTAGGTCATTCTTTTATATGGCCTCATGATTTCCATATTGCAGAAATTCTTGTCATCTTAGACATCTTAGTCACACTTCTATGGGAAAAAATGTATGAGATAAGAGTGCATGGGTAGAAGGTAAACAGATGGAAGAAAGGATTCTGAAATGGAAAGTAGTAGATAAATTATTCCTTATTTACAGTTTTGCTCAAGCCCCCCCCCCAATAATATATCTGTTTGGAAATGTGTAAGCACTGCCAAGGAAACAAATTTCTTACTGGTCAGCTAGTTAAAACAGATCAAATATTTCAAATGTTAGGGTTAATGGGTGATGGTATAAAAATTATGAACAAATGGAGGTCCTCAAATGTCATAGCTGTAAGCACTGCTGTGACAACTCTTTCCACCAAATCTTTCAACGGGACCTTTAATGAGGACCAGAATCTTCCCACACTGAGGTCAAATCTTTTCATTCCCTTTGTCCACCCTCTTAATTGGATGTAGAGGAGCGAGAAAATGGCCAGAGAGCAGTGGGAAAGGACAGTGGAAGTTCACAAGACAGCTTATTAATCTGGCTCTGAATATGGTTAACAATCCACTGAAGGTAGAATGAACTCAAGAGTTAGGTTTGGGGTAAAGAGGGGAGGAAAAGGGACAGAAAAAGTTAAATACAAAGTATATACAGAATGTCTATTTCATTTTCAAATTTTGGGAATTCACTATAATTAACAACAAACTAAGTTCTTGTTTCTGCAGGCTAGAAGCTAGAAAATACATCCTAGGCTTTAACAAATGGGTGTGAGGCTGCCATTCCAGAAAACAATCTTCATGACTCTTCTAAGGAGAATTAATACACAGGGCAAAAGCATTACATAGGTCCTTGGAGGCAAAATACAATGAAGCTCAAATCAGATTTTCTGGTTCTAGCCCAGTAAACTTATTCAGGGCCTGAAATTTGAAAAGTCCTTACAGTGAAGCTGGAGG